TCATTAAACCACCCATCCAAAATTGCATCAACCTGAATTCGAACATGTGACCATCTGAAAACATACAAGAATACTTACCATTAAGACACGACACATAATTGACAATAAACTAACAATACGGATATATATCACAAAGCTACAATTTATAATGGTTATAAAACTTATATAAATAATGTTAAATAAATTATTAATTCTCATATAATTATTATTATTATATATTAAAAATATCTCATACTAACAAATATTTATATAATATAATTTAAAAATCTAAGGAACTGTTGTTCAACTCGTGTAAGTTAAAAATTAATTTCGAAAGCATTTGAAGTTTGAATTGAATCGTAAATTGTAAGATTTAATTAAATCGTAATATTTGAATCAATTAAACTCATGTGTTTTCAATTCAAAAACAATATTCAAAGATTTGATCGATTAAGCTCAACTCATTTCAATTCGTAGACAATATTCAAATATTTGAATCGGTTAAACTCAATAATTTACAATAGCGTATTAATCAATCTGTGTATAGTTAAAGTTTAGTAACCTTTTTTTATTGAATTTTATTATAAAAAATAATAAAATTTAATTGGTAAAAATCGTAAGATTTAATCGGTTCATGGTTAGATTAAATCTTACGATTTACGATCTGATTCTTACGATTTTACGAATTAAATTATTATTTTGTTGTTAAAATTGAATTAAAAGGATAGTAGACTTTAATTATAAATAGTTAACTCGATTAATACGTTCTTGTCAGTGGTTGAACTTAATCGATTCAAATTTTTGAATAATATTTACAAATTAAAAGGATTTGCGCTTAATTTATTCAAATCATACGCTTTAATTAATCTTATGATTTCATTCTTGCGTAATTTAGGGATTATTTTTTTATGATAAGATTGAATTAAAAATGTATTACACTTTAATTAATAATAGTTAATTTGATTAAGACGTTCTTGTCAATAGTTGAGCGCGCTAATGAATCGATTCAAATACTTGAATAATGTTTACGAATTGAAAGGACTTGAGCTTAATTGGTTCAAATATTACGCTTTGATAAAATATTTTGATTTACGATTAGGTTCTTACATGTGTTAGGAATTAAATATATTATTTTTATGACAAAATTGAATTAAAAAGATATTACACATTACTTATAAATAGTTAAATCAATTTTGTAACATGTTATGTCAATAGTTAAGCAACTGATTCAAATATTTGAATAATGTTTACTAATTGCAAGGGTTTGTACTTCATCGATTCAAATCTTACTAGTTGATTAAATTAAATATTAAAAGAAAATTCACAATATAGTATTTGTAGTATATAATTTTATTTTAAAGTAAGAAAACTACTAATTGGAATGAGTTATAATTTTTTCTTCTTCTAAATAAACATATTATTTTATTTTTTATTTGGATTTGCCACACTATCGATTAAATAACATAAGTGAGTTTGAATTAAGTTATGCATTTTTTTTATTTAATTGAGCATTCTTTACATTTTTAAATTGAGGATTTTATTGATACTTCTAATATTTAATGATAGATGTTTGGCGTATTGAACTGCAATTCTTTATATTTTTCAAACTTTATTTTATTAAATTTGTTAATCATTTATTTAATTCGGGTTTTCGGGTTTCGGGTTTCGGGTTTTCGTGTTTTGGGTTTCGGGTTTTACCATTTAATAATAATGAATGTTGCAATTAATATTTGCATTAACAGTATGTATACAATTATGGTTAAATATTTTATAATAAGTTAATGTGCTTGGATGGTTAGGAGTGATAAATGTATTAAAAGGTCACAAGTTCGATTTCTAATGAATACATTTTTTTCGATTATTTATCAAATAAAACTCAGTCACATTGAATTTAAATTAATTATTTAATTAAAATATAGTAGGGGGTAAATTAGACAATTCCATGTTAATCAATTTTATATTAATTTAATAAAAAAATAATAGAAGGATAATTTGGTAAAGTACTTATTTTTTAGAACATAAGCCATGTTATTTTCCTAGGGTTCAGATTTAATCTTAGAAAATTAATGGTGATTAATGCATATCTCAAAAAAGTTTAGAACATGGGGTATCTCACCCTAGACAAACCCAGAAAAGTATTAGTAATTAATTGGAGTAGGAAAAGAAAAAGAAATTATTTCCAAACATAGACCTCGTATTTCCATTCATTGACTACTATTTTAAGTCTACCTTAATTGACTTCTTAAACAGACTTAATTTGGTTTTAATAGGGCCCACATCAGACTTTTTTTAACGTTGTCCTTCATTTTCTTGTATCCAGTTTCCTATATTCTATCTTCCATACTTGGCTGCAGCTAAGTGCAAACTCTGCTAATTAGCTTAAAATAAAAACATTAACAGTGCATGAATATCAACTGCAACTAAAGGAATGTGTTTATTTATATATAACAAGAATATATATTATTACAATGCGAAAAAAGAATTCAACAAAACCACAAATAATAAAACAAACAAGCAAAAAGAAAATTACCAATTAAGGGGCTAAACTACATCTCACAATGAATATAGATAATAATAATTAATTAATACTGCCCCGAAACCATATTTAAACAAAAGTAAAAAGAAGAAGAAATAATCATTTGCAGACGAGATTCCTGATTTGCTGAGTAGCAGTCACAATTTCCATGTTGCAATTCATATCTGTTGATTTGTTCTTCTTCATCACGAATATCAGCTCCACTCTTCCCGCCATTCTAGCCTGGCTTGTAATCTGAACCACCCCGGCGTTCAAGTCACTCGCCAGCTGAGGATTCCCCTGCGCGTTGGCCAAGTTCAGATCAACCACCACCCTGAATTTCTTCGTCGATCTCCAACCGGCGCGTGAGTCGCGGACGAAAACCTGGCCCACCGGCGTTCCTTTGTAGAAGAAACCGACGGTGGTGTTCCTGTACTTGTAGCGTCCGAAGTTGGCGTTCTTCACGGAGAACTCCGCGTTCACCGTCCCGGAGAAGGACGGACTTCCCGGGGTTCCGGCGTGGAAGGTGGTGAGATGGGCGGAGCGGATCCGGAATTTGGGGGTTCGGATTTTCATGACGGTTACGGAGAATATGGCGATGACGCCGAGCTGGAAGATAACGAATAGTGCGATGTAGATAAAGCATTTGGTGCGTTTCTTCTTTCGCTGCTCCCTGGCGTCGTGAGCGGCGGCGCCCGCCTCTGCGTCGCTCCGGCCGTGGCCGTTGGCGTATGGCAGTGGCTGGTGCTCCTTCTCAGCCATCTAAGAAAATAAAGGAAGAGAGAGTGGGAGATTAAATTATTTGGTGAAGCTTTGTTTATGAGAAGTATGGTAATAATGAATATTGATGCTGGAGTTGGAAGTTGCAACTCATATATATATATATATATATATATATATATATATATATATATATATATATATATATATATATATATATATATATAGCAAAGATTTTATTAAATTGATATTTTATTTTATTATATTAATTATTGTTGTGCTATTTAATATTTAGATTTTGTTTAAAGGAACGTGTGAGGCGGCTTATTCTGAATTAATGATGTGCTAGATAGAGAGAGAGAGGGGGGCTGCTTTTTTCAACAAAACCGCACTTATAATTAGTATGTTGATGACGTCATTTGCATGCGGAAGCTTCTACTTGGTATTGATAATTGACAAGGTCTACTTCTCCAATAGTCTGACAGACCACTCATCGTCTGACACGTGGAACCACAGCGCGGAAATTTGAAACCATCCGCAGTTTGGATTTACACTGTGTTCTAGATATATGGCGCAGCAAGATAGACGAAATTATGTGGTGGCTTTTGTGTTTACATTTAGATTTAATCACTAATACAAAAAGTTTATGTTATGGACTATTTACTTGATTTATGTTAATTAATACAGTAGATTTGTGTTTGTTAGCATAGTAATTCGAAATTAGCAGCCACAAGGTCAGAAGGGATAGGTAATTAAATCTGCGTATTAATTGTAGTTGCATATTATATATATATATATATATATATATATATATATATATATATATTGCAACTACAATATCCTGTTAGCAGCTGACCATTGTTGAATTTCTTTGACTACGTACTAAACCCTACTTTTGTTACTCTGTTTCTATCAGCACCTCACCCTATATTACATGATATATAATCACATTAACAAATTAATATAATTAACCAACTTAATTTGCATTAATAATCAGTTTAGTGACAATATAATTACTTTAATTAACTAACAGAGAGAAATATAATTAAGAAAATAAACATTAAATAATTATCTCAAATCCAGAATCAATCAGTACAAATCACAAACAAATAAAATGAATTAGAAACACCCCTCCTCCACAAATAATCCCAAACTCTTAATTAAAATAAAAATAAATTAATAAAAATTAAACAATGAGATTAGTTATAATAAAGTTGTCATAACTTTAATTAGTTGCATTCTAAATTCTCAACGGCGCGTGTCTTGGTATTAACATCCATCCTACAATCCATTGTTGCCGTCTTCCTCTTCTTAATAACTTTAAACAGATGAATTTTCCCGCTCAAAGTTGCTTGACCGGTCAACGCAATCTTACCAGAATTCAAGTCGCCGCGCAAATTAGGAGTAGTTCCGCTTTTAGACTCCGCCGCCACAGTCACGTTCAGCTTCTTAGTGGACCGCGCTCCGGCGCGGCCACCGGGAACCGCCGCATTGCCGACGGCGCTCCCCCGGTAAAGGACCGAGATTTCGCTGTCGGAGAATTTGAAGTGCCCGAAATTCTTGTTCTTCACCGTTACTTCTCCTTTGAGCCTGATGCTGAAGGAGGGTGTGGTTGAATTGACCGTTAGTTTTTCAACGGTAACGGAGCTGAACCGGACTTTGGGAGTTGTGACGCGCAAGAATATCAGACCAAAGACTACTATGATTAGGGTTTGTAGTATAATTGCTGCAACAATTATGGCTATGCATTTTCGGCGGTTTGTAGGAATTCGTGGATTGGTTCTATGCATTTTTTATTTTTTGCCTCAATTTTTTTTTTTTATTGAGAATTGGGAGATGGGAAAATTAGATGACGAGGAAGAAATGTATGAACAATATACAATTTTATACAACGTGAAAAGTTGATGTAATTATATTCTGATAAACAAAAAAAAGAAGTTGGTGTAATTGTTTATTATTTCTTTAATTAGTTATGTGCTTTAGCTTTTTTCTATGGCATGGTGAAAACCAAGTTTAGAGATAAAGTATATTTCATCAGTTTAGGGTAAAAGCAAAATGCAGGATCATTCTTCATATTAAATATTTAATTAGATTAATTATTATTCGAAGGAATATGGAATATTTTGCAGGGAAGTCATGTATAAGTGGGGATATATAAAAAATATTCCTAATTAATGGAAGGTGAGTCGACCAAGTTTGACATATTCCAAAGTCTATAACCCAAGTTTCCTCTGAATTAGTTAAAAGTTCTGTTGGTACTAAATAGGTCTTTATCTCACTAAATTAACATAATTAATTACTATGTTTTGAATTACTATCTCACTATATTTTATAGATATGGGCCTATTAATTGGGCTTTATCTGCAAACCCATGTTTGAAGATTAACTAAATTACTTGTCCAATGGACCTATTTTTGTAAGTTGGCCCATAAAAACGAAAGTATCTTATTAAATATTTAATTTAATGAATTATAGAAATTAAATATCTGCAAGGGAGCATCTCCGACTGTACAGCTATGTATAATCCTATACATGGACTGATCTACTACACAGAAGAAAAACTTTAATAAATTTCATTATATCATGAAGCAGGAAAATAGCATATAAAAATTCAAGTTTAAATTATAGGCGACTCTAGAATTTAAATGCCAAATTACAAGAACAATTGGATTTAAAGTCATTTCTTATTTATTTATTTCTGAATTGGTTAAAGTTTAAGAAATTTTATTTGAAAGGCAATAAAATAATAAACGTACTCGTGAACCCAACTCAGAAATCTGAATGTTGTGTGTCTCTACATTGAAAAGAACAAAAAATAATGCAGAAAATGAAATAAAATTATGACATGTGAACTCCAATCATTTGATCTGTCACTCTATAATTAAAATCGTGGGTCATATAACAAAACAAGAAACCATCACATGCATTATTTCTCACTCTCTCACATGAACCTAGCTAGTAGACCAATTGTGAAACACAAGTTCCATCCACCACCAAATTATGCTCGTTTAATTGAATTTCTCTATTTTCCAATTCAAATTAATCTATGATATATTGTGACCAATTGTGAAACACATATATCATCAAATTACTATTTATTTATTTATTAACGAAAATACTAGAACAAAATGCGTAATAAAAACATTTGGGGTAAATTACATTTTCTTCCTTTTACTTTGGTTCGATATCACTTTACCCCCTTATACTCTCGATTATATCAATTTGCCCCATTGTACATGAAAAATTGTCTCAATGTCGCCATTAGTTTTCATTTTTCAAACTTTTGACCATAACACCGTTTGATATAAATTTAAAAATTACAAAAAAAAACACCATTTAAATAATTATTAAAAAAATTAAATAATAAATAACAAATTGTGGCTGCCGTCGTGGACTATACTTTCTCGTTGTATATATATTTTTTTGTTTTCTTTTAAATAATTAATTAAACTGAGAGGGGGACATGTTCGTAATTTCAGAGCTTAGACCAAACGGTGTTCGGATCAAATGTTTGACAATTAACAGCGAGGGTCATATTGAGATAATTTCTCAAGTACATATAGACAAAACAATGCAACGAAAAGTATAAGAAAATAAAATGATATCGAACTAAAGTACACGGAAAACATGAAACTTACCCAAACATTTGAGATCTGACATGCACAAATTAACCGCACCACTTGGCACTCAAAATATTATACCAAAAGCATGACAACTATCAACATATCCAATTCCACATTAATCTCTCTTTTCATCCATTTCACTACTACTCTAATTATTTCTTCGCTCCTCCATGGAACAACCACCGCCACCACCACCTCCTCCCACTCCGCCGCCCTACAAAACCTACACACTCACCGCCTCTTCACTCTCCTACACAAAATCCACCACCACCACCGCAGCCACCTTCCTCTTCAAGCCATGCATCTCAACACCACCAACCTACATCTTAAAAGACATCTCCCTCACCGCAAATCCATCTCAAATCCTCGCCGTCGTCGGCCCTAGCGGCGCCGGAAAATCCACCCTCCTCGACATCCTCGCCGCCAGAACCGCCCCCACCAGCGGCGCCCTCCTCCTCAACTCCGCCCCACTCAACCCCTCCGCCTTCCGCAAGCTCTCCGCCTACGTACCCCAGCACGACGCCTGCCTACCTCTACTCACAGTCGCCGAGACTTTCATATTCACCGCTCGCCTCCTCAAACCCAAAACCGCCGACATCTCCGCAATCGTCTCCTCCCTCCTCGAAGACCTCCGCCTCGCCCACCTCGCCGACACCAGGCTCGCCCACGGCCTCTCCGGCGGCGAGCGCCGCCGCGTCTCCATAGGTCTGAGCCTCCTCCACGACCCCGCCGTTCTCCTCCTCGACGAACCCACGTCGGGGCTCGACAGCGGTTCCGCCCTGAACGTAATGCAAACCCTCAGATCAATCACAGACTCCCGCCACCGCACCGTAATACTGTCGATCCATCAGCCCAGCTTCAAGATTCTCTCCACCATTGACAGATTCCTTCTCCTCGCCAAAGGCGCCGTCGTCCACCACGGCACACTATCTTCTCTCACAGCCTTCCTCCTCCACAACGGATTCTCCGTCCCACCGCAGCTCAACGCCCTCGAATACGCCATGGAAATACTTAACCAGCTCAACAAAAAAGAAGAAGAAGATAACCCTGCAGCAACTCCTACAGAATTACAAGATCTTCCTCCAATTCTAAACAATCAAAATTCTGAATCCTCTCTCTCTAACTCTAGAGCGAGAGACGAGATCAGATACAGAAGCTCTCGTTTCCACGAAATCATCACTCTTTATATCAGGTTCTGGAAAATTATATACAGAACCAAGCAATTACTTTTAACAAACACCTTGCAGGCATTAGGAGTTGGTCTTGTTCTGGGCACTATTTACATAAACATCGGATTCGACAAGTCGGGAATTGAGAAGAGATTAGGTTTATTTGCGTTCACACTAACGTTCCTCCTCTCTTCCACAACCGAAACCCTACCGATATTCATAAACGAGAGGCCGATTCTATTGAGAGAAACTTCGAGTGGGGTTTACAGGCTGTCTTCCTATCTAATGGCGAACACCTTAGTTTTCATGCCATACTTGCTAGCAATCGCCGTCGTCTACTCGGTCTCGGTCTACTTTCTGGTGGGCCTGTGCGCCACGTGGCAAGCGTTCGCGTACTTTGTTCTTGTGATCTGGGTTATAGTTCTGATGGCGAACTCGTTCGTACTTTTCTTGAGCTCAGTAGCGCCGAACTACATCGCCGGAACTTCTCTGGTGACGGTGCTGCTGGCCGGATTCTTCCTGTTCTCCGGCTACTTCATATCGAAGGAGAGCCTGCCGAAGTTCTGGCTGTTCATGCACTACCTGTCAATGTACAAGTACGCACTGGATGCGATGCTGATAAACGAATATTCCTGCCTTGTGTCCACGTGTATGATATGGTTCGACGAGAATAAGAGCACGTGCATGGTGAGTGGGGGTGACGTGTTGGTTAAGAGAGGGCTACATGAAAGGCAGAGGTGGACGAATGTTTATATCTTGATCGGATTCTTCGTGATTTATCGCCTTCTCTGGTTGCTTGTTTTGAACAGAAGGGTTTCCAGTTCCAAGAAATAAATTTAAAAAAAAAGAAAAAAAAAAAAGAAAAAGAAACTCATTCATGCTGGCCTGGTATTTTCAATTTCCTGATGCTTTCTTTAATTTATGCTGTCTTAATTTTTTACTTTTTTTTTACAAGTGTTTTAATTTGTGTCAAGAATTACTCATGCATGTAACGTACGTACTGCTGTTGTGTAAATGGGAAGTAATAAATATGACGTTATTGATGATATATAATAATATATTGTTGATGATATACATGATCACTTCATCACCTTTTTTTTATTTTTTTTTTATTTGCAATAGTTTTTATTTCTTAAAAAACATTATATATAATTCGATCTGCAAATTATTCAAACTTTGAATCAATAAAGTCGTCTGTCGCCCTAGCTAGATTTGTCCTCTCTCTCTCTCTCTCTCTCTCTCTCTCTCTCTCTCTATATATATATATATATATATATATATATATATATATTAAATATTTTTTGGATGAAAGGATTTTGTATATGAACAAGACAAGAGAAGAGCTCATCCATCAAAACTTCCAGATGTGCATATACATGTCACGGGTTATATATATATATATATTATATATACCGACAACAATGTAATGTGTGTGTGACAAAATAAAAGAATTCAGAGTACTATTATATGAGTAGTGCCGTCGTATTACTCGAAATTAAATAATAATATTTGGAAGAAATTGTTTGTGCCATGAGATGAGATTTGACAGAGGGCCAAGATTGAAACCTACACACACAAACACACACACCAAACGTATACAGATTTTGATTTTTGTTTTTTAGCATTGAGAAACAGAATCAGTGATACATACAAGGTAACTAGAGGTTCACGGGTACTACTTATAAGCTAGTGCTCCCACGTGAACTATATTTGCCTTATTTCTCCCCTTGTACCAAATTCATGCACCTTTTTTTTTTTTTTTTTTTTTAATTTTTTTATTAAAACAATATTCAAGAAATATGCAGAAAGAATTCAACATACTCTTTTTTATGAAGAAATTACAAGTTTATTTCTTCATACCAATATTCCTAGAATCGATGATCATCTATATACTTAACAAAATTAAATTCTAGAAATACAGAATATATAGTGTTCAATGATATTGAACACAAACAAACTCAATTCGCGTTTTACTGGATAATGAAGCATGTGCTAAAATAATTAACCACTAAACTGATAAATAATCTTCCTCTAATTAATACTAATTAACTCAATTTAAATAAATAAAATTGACTTGAAGAAAATTACAATAAATTACATTTGACTTCGATAGTCAAATATCCAACAACAATAAAATATTTTTGAGAAGGAAAATTATATTATATTCGCTAATATTTTGAGAGGAGATAAAAAGTTTATAATATAGCTGTTAAATTTTTTTAGTCGAACTAAATAAAATAAAATTAAGCGACTTGAATTGGGCCCACTATAAAGAAGAGATGATCGGAATATAAAGCTTACTAAACATTGGGCCTGTAATAATAATTAATACTATGTGGGCCTCTTTAAAGAAAAACATGTACTATTACTGTACATCAGCGATGGGCTTTACTAAAAGCGTGTTGGGGTTTAATTTGCTAAACGACAACTTTTGTTCTACTGTACAATATAAAACGTGTTTCGTGATTTAAAATTTATTTTGCAAACACCTATAACTTAAAAAAAAGTACAATTATTTGACTCACGATTCATCTCTCTCACCCTATATTACATCTCACAAGTGATAAGTTAATGAACTCTCATTTGGAGAGTTAGTACCTAGCCTTTATCAATAGGGTAACGGTTTAGGGTTCGAGTCCCTCCTCCCTTGTTTCCCCTTGTAATGAACTTGAGTTCACTAAAAAAAAAAAAAGTGTATTACAAGTTACAACAATAAATAAAAAAATTCAAATTCAACGAAAATATTTTATTCACTTGAGAGTACAAGGGTATGTTTGGAACTTATTTTGAGTTCATTTTGAGGAAATATGTTTTGGGGGAAGACTTTGAAAATGAAAGTAATGTTTGTTTATATTTTGGGAGTAGATAAAATACATTGTAGCAGTCAAATCATGTTTAAAGGTGTTAGAAAAATGAATTTTAAAAGAAGTAAATTGAAAGATGAAATAATGTTTATCTGTTTTTTTTGTGAATACATATTTTACTGTAGCAGTCACATCATATCTGAAGGAGAGAAAAACTTTTGAAATTGTTTTGAGAAAATTATTTAAAGAATTTAATAAATACAATTTTGTTTTGAGGAATCAATGAAAAAAAAAATGCTTCCAAACATTGCCCAAAAGATTGTGTCTTGTATTTGATACTATATTTTTGTTTCAACACTATATATGAATTATAAATTATACATATTAAGAAAATAAATTAAACACGACACAATATATAGTACGGATGTGGATTGTTAGTTTGTCACATATATCTTTTCGGCCTAGCGATTGGAACAAGTGAATTTGTTTCAGCCGACCTAAGTCCGAATCACTTTGGCCCTGTTTGGTTGACAAGATAAAATTAGCTAAAATAATATTAAATAATTTAATGAAACTCAATTATTTTACTTGAGCTTGCAACGTCAAAAAAAAAAAAAAATCATTAGAAGTCAAAATAAGTCAAGATAATAAGCCATGATTATATAATTTTGGCGCGTCGACCCAACAATTTATTGGGATACCAATTAAGTCAAACTATTTAGTTAATCATAACTTATTTTGGCAACTAAACGGGCCCATTGCCTACATTCGCTAAATGCAGGTTCTTACATGTTGTTAACCTAGTGTTGTTTATGTTTTTCATTTAATTTTCAAATTATTATATGAGAGTTGAGATTTACCTAGTGCACCCATATAGTGTGTACATATTTTTTTTAATAAAAAAATGAAATAAAAATAAATAAAGTCATAGATTGGTAGTTGGGATATGTGGTGGAAATGAAACGAAATAAAGATGGGAATAATATAAGATGGCGATAACCAATTTGGAGAGGTGTAACAATTATGACCCCCAATAATATTCTGCCCCCACAATCTATCAGACCTGTAATAATTATACTGCTTTTAACAATTTATCCACTTTGATCCACTTTTTATTTCAATATTGCTGTTTCCAATGTCACTTTTATCTAAAATTGATTTCTCAATTAAGTTAGCAATATATTAAAATTTTAATTTATTGATTTTTTTAATACATTTTCACCAAATTGGAACCGAAATAAATTACTAAACAAGATAATTCTACTATATCTGGTATACTCGTTATTATTATTATTATTATTATTATTATTATTATTATTATTATTATTATTATTATTATTATTATTATTATTATTATTATTATTATTATTATTATTATTATTATTATTATTATTATTATTATTATTATTATTAATAATGAATATTCACATGATTAATATACTACCACTGATAAAAATGCACTACAATTCCTATTATATGAGATATTCTTATTACTTTCTCTCTCTTGAAATATGTTATAAATTATGATATATTTTTATTTTATGATTATTGTGACTCAAAAATATATTATTTCGTTCTTTTTCCTTGACCTCATCTTGCTTATTGTACTTAAAAAACATGATTTATTTGATTCAATATAATTTTATTTCATGGCAAAAAGAAAGAAAAAAAAGAACATTAATTATTTTGTTAAATTATTTCCTAAAATACTTGAAAACATCCGATTACAATACAACACGCGCTCACAATTCTTGCAACAATACGACTAAATGATAATATACTACAAAAATTAAAGCAAATAAGAAACATAAAAAAACGATTAAAAATAAAATAATGCGAATAATTGGACGAAGCCGCAAACACAACAGAGATTTGCGAGTTAATCCCGACGACAACTCACCGACTCACCGACTCAACGAACTTCCCCAAAGCAACAACCGACGATCCATTCTCACGCACCGCCGCTTCGGCGGCTTTTTTCAACTCGGCGACTCGGACCCTGACGGCTCTCCCCATCTTCGACTCAAACATCTCTCTAACTCGCTTCTCCAACTCAGCCGCCGTCACGAACCCATCCGGCGCCTCATCCAACGGCAGCGCCACCTTCATTTCCTCCACCATGAAAACCCTGTTCATCCGCTGCTCCGCGTATATCGGCCACCCGATCATCGGCACGCCAAACGACAACGCTTCCAAAATTGAGCTCCTCCCGCAGTGGGTCACGAACCCGGCGACCGAGTCGTGACTCAGCACCTCCTTCTGCGGGGCCCACGACTTGACCACGAAACCCCTGTCTTTAGTTCTCTCCAGAAAACCCTCCGGCAGAAGCTCATCCAAGTCCGGCTCATCCGCCGGCGATGAACCACGCTTCCCCGGCGGACTGCGCACCGACCAGAGAAATCTATGGCCGCTATTTTCCAAACCAAGCGCCGTTTCTTTCAACTGTGCAGCCGAAAACAAACCCCTTCTCCCAAAACAGAGGAAAATCACGCTTTTACTCGGCGGCGAATCAAGCCAACTCAAGCACTCATGCTCTACGCCGCCGGTTTTGGTGTTGCTTTCACCGATCAACGGCCCGACTAGGTATACAGGCGGAGTTGGAGCGTCCGGTATGCACAACCCACTCGATAATGCTTCCTTGGCTCTGAACTCAAGCGCATCAAACGCGTTCACAACGATTCCGGCTGATTTCCGCATGTTTTTCGCGGTGCACAGAAAGTGTTTGTAAGTATTACTCTGACGGAAAAACAAACCATTGGGGAAATCCAACGAGTAAAGCGGCGGGCATCCCGGAACTTCGATGAAATCGTTCAATTCTCCGATGTCCTGAGGAATTGTTTCGTCAATGGTGGGAACATACAGAAAGGCGCATAGGCCAAACGCGCCGCTGCTGACGTAGTAGTAGGTCGGTATACTCAACTCTGTCGAAACTTCAAAAGCTGAATTGCAGAAGAAATCGATGACGAAGGCTCTGATTGTTGACTTCTGGGAGATCTCTGTTAGGGCTTCCTTTAGGTTTGGGTTGTTCAGGCGAGGGATTTCGAAGAAGAGTTCGACGGGGTTGGCGGTTAAATTAGGGGGGAGAGCGGCGGCGGGGAGGCGGCGGTAAGTGATGGAAGGGACGGCGGCGACGGAGGCGGCAGCTGAATCGGCGGCGGAGCTGAGAATAATGACGGAGATTTTGGGGTGGTGTTTGCTGATGAACTTGGCCAGAACCAACATGGAATTCAGGTGCTCCGCCGAAGCATACAGAATTATTGCGTCTTCCATTTATCGATTTTGGGGAAGATTAGAAGAATTGTTTTTGCAGTTGGAGCTTGTTTTTTCTTGCTGTGTGACGTGGTTTATATACTAAAAATAGTCTTGATAAATTATTGATTTTCCATAAAAAGAAGTGTTGATTCGTTAAGTGTAAATTAACGGTTGCCCCCTGAAATAATATCAAATTATTTAAAAGACCTTTAATGTTTAGATAACTACAATTTATCCCCAACTATAACTTTTCTTACATGTTCATTGTTGCGGTGTTAAATTAATTAGTTGAATTTTCTAGATTATGTGGAATCTTCTCCAGTTTGTACCCATTTTCCATTCGAGATTCACATTTTGAAATAAGATGATCATAAGAAGTGTCTATTAGCTTGTAATTATCAGATTTTAGTGCATCAGAAAATGCATTTTTTCACAAAATGAGTACAAACTAGGGAACATTTCAGGGAATTAGAAGATTATGTTGAATTTAACACCTAAAGATGGACATGTAGATGGACATGTAAGAAAATTCATATTCATAGTTGATGGGTTTTGTTGTAACTATCCAAATATAAAGGATTTTTTTTGTAATTTTAGCATAATTTAAGGGGTGGACGTAATTTAACTTTCGTTGAATTAAAATATATTTTACATATGCTCATAACGTATACACGTGTATATATATAAGAAAAAAGTATTTAATATGATCTTGTGCAATGGTGTGGGGGTTGAAACTTTGAGAGTAGGTTGGTGAGTGAGTGTGTAAGAGTTAGGTACGGCTGTCGGAACGACAAGTATATAATTTCAAATAAGTAGTCATAGTTAAGTAGTAAGTGTATATATATGTATAGACTACATATGCATGAATATTGTGAATCAAATTAAAATTCCAAATTATTAGTGTCATGATCATCACTTAAAACGCAATTACAAGCTCTTAATACAACATTCCATCTTAAAACTCTTACAACATAAACATTTATAAATAGAGAAATAAATAGATTTTTGGCCAAAGGGGTATGTACTATGTATGGCTGGGTCACGTTTGATTCTATCTCCCCACATACATTCATTCATGGATAATAAGCACTTGCAGTTGCACACACTTCACTGAAAATATGAAAAATGTTAATTAATCATTTTATAGTAATATTTAATTTCCTACAATTAATGAGTTCCTTTTTGTTATTTATTGTGCCTTTTGCCCTACCTCTACTAATTCAATACTCTAATTAAGTGCTCAACTACTTTATAAATCATTCATAAATTCGTTATGTACAGTCGCAGACAACTACCCCTGCCATGCATGTACGCGCGCACACAACCAAAAAAAGAGTAAATGTATTTCACGTGCTAAATTTTTCATAAACTATATATCTCCTTTTCCAGTTTTCTACAAATTGAGTGAGGAAGTTGATAAACAAGATTAACCCACAAACATTCTAATTTATTCCAGTTTAGAAGGGAAATTAAGGCTATAAATTTGGTTATTATTTTCAAATAATAAATCACACTTTCCACAACTGGACAAGCTTTCCAAGTGCAGCAATGGAGGAACCACCTTCGCTAATGGCAGCCCTAGCTTCCGCACTCTTTTCCTCAACCACTTTACCTACTTCTTTCCCTTTCTCCGATTCACCATCCATCAGCTCTCTCACTCGCCTCTCCACCTCCTCCGCCGCCACGGTGCCGCCGCCGTCTTCCATCCTCAATGCCAGCTTCATGTCCTCATCCACCAGCACCACCCTATTAAACTTCTGCTCCGCGTAGAGCGGCCACGCCACCATCGGCACGCCTGACATAACCGCCTCCAGCACCGAGTTCCACCCGCAGTGGGTCACGAACCCCCCGACGGACCCATGGTTCAGCACCGCCACCTGTGGGGCCCACGACTTCACCACCATCCCCCGGTTCTTCGTCCGGTCCAGAAACCCGGCCGGAAGTAGGGAATCCAGATCCGGTTCGGGAGGCGGTAGAAACCGCTTGCTGTAGTCGTCGGAAGGAGGCGAACGGACCACCCATAAGAACCTGTGCCCACTTCTCTCTAACCCTAGAGCTATTTCCTTCAATTGCCCCTCCGAAAACAAACCTAAACTCCCGAAACACAAGTAAACCACACTTTTTCTAGGCTGTTCGTCAAGCCATTTCAGACAACCGTGAACGCCGCCGCCATCGAGTCTGTCTCCGGTTGCCAAGAGTGGCCCGACGCAGAAAACCGGCGGCGTACGGCCACCGCCGCCGGGGTTGCATGCCCCTTCTCTAATCGTTCGAAGAGATTTCGTTTCTAAGCCCTCGAATGTGTTCACAAGAATTCCAGCTGAATTCGGTAAATTAAGCGAGAGATTTAAAAAGCTTTTATATTCCGACGACTCACGATCGAGCATGGGCTTGGGCATGTCGGCAGATGGGATTGGAGGAACCCCCGGAAAATGCAGAAGCGTGTTCATATCTTTGAAGCTTTTGGTGGTGGTGTTGTGAATTGCAGGCAAGTAATGGATCATGGCAAGAAATGAAGCACCGGAGGTGAGAAAATAGTACACAGGGATGTCGAATTCGGCGGCAATTGGAAGAGACGTGTTGCAGAAAAAGTCAATGATGAAGGCTGAGATGGTAGCGGCAGAGTGGGTGATGGTTTCAAGGGCACGGCGGACATGGGGGTTGCTAAGGTTGAGGACTTCGAAAGTGACTGCTTCCATCGAAGGGAAGGAGTCGAGGTCAACGGCGATTAGGGGTAGGTGGTGGAAGGTGATGGAAGGTTCAGTGGCGGAGATGTGGCGGATGTAGGAGGCGGTGGAGCCGGTGTTGAAAGAAGGCGGTGCTGTTAGGATGGTGATGGCGAAGGAAGGGTGGTGGTGGAGGATTAACTTTCCTAGCTCCACCATTGATATCAGGTGGCCCATTCCTGGAGATGGATATAATACTATAGTTTCCATTGCAACAAAAAAAATTAAAAAAAATCACAATCTTTTCTTCCAAGTTGTTGAACTGTATATAGTGCACTTCAAGACATTATCAGTGTCAATTTTGTGGTCCTACTAATTAATAGTTACGTCTAGCAAATAAATTTCTTTGAATTGGAAAACTCAAAATTACGAAAAAACCTATCTTCATCAATATGAATGGTAGGGAATTGATTCTAATATTGCATTACAGCTGACACATTTTGTTCCACACATGAGTGATCAGTAATCAGTCCCACCTTGTTGCCCCACTCTGCCATTAATTTCCGATAACCAATGATAATTCTCAATCTTTCTAGAACAAATAACAGTTGCACTATTACAGAATTATATTTATAATACTTTAGTATCAAAAATACTAGAGTTCTAGAAGCATTTCAATGCTAACTATGTTTGTAAACCTAAGTCAAAGTGATATGGAGGGTGAAAGAAGAGTTAGGGAGTTCGAATTTCTTTCGAGAGAAAGAAAAACCCGGTGCCTCAGACTTTCAGATGGATATTTCACACACACACACACACACACACACAGACGTTCGCTTCTAACATCTCGTCATCCAAACTTATGTGTTACGTCGCAAAGCAACTGTATAAAAAGATTCTTGCTAATAATCACCCAAATCTGTATATAGAAACATGCAAACAAAGTGGTACAACTTTGGTCTTTTAGATGTTGAATTAACTAAAAAATAACAAAAGAAACGCACTTTTGAACTTAATACGTTTTTTTAAGATAAAAGAGTTGATTTGGATTGGAGAGAAGAGAGAGATATGAACATGTTCAATCACAACCAGGAAGTAACTCATGCAAAAGCGATTTCACCTTGTGCAAAAGACGTACGGGATTAATCAAAAGAGGTCAGTACTCCCATTTCTTCAGATCCATGCCATCGGGCGGGCTTCCTTCAACCTTCTTCAAACCCACTTCTTTCCAATTCGTCGATAGCACTGTCCCATTTGATTCAACCTTTTTTTTATTGGCACCAGAAAGAAAATGTCAATAATAACCTTGGATTATAAAAACGACCGATTTTCATTCTTTTCTTAAATGTGTCGGATGATTTAGGAGAAAGATAGTGGTTCTTACAAAGGATTTGCTCATGGCTCTTCTTGTGTCCTCATCGGCATCTTTATAGATGTCTCTGAAAAATTTGTTCAAAGCTGCGTCACCGTCTAGTTTTTCATCCTTTTCCTGTTATGCAAAATAAAGAGCAAGTTAGGCTAGATAGAGGAATAGGCTACTACGTAAAGGAGAGTGAAAGAAGAAAGTTTGAAATTACACACCTCCTTTTTAACCTCAGCTTCCAATTTATCCCAATCTACTCTGTTAGGTTTGGAGGAAGGATATGTGGGTTTTTGTTTTCCTGTTGAAGAGAATTGGAAAGTGAAGATTAAATAAAGGTTCTACGCTGATGTACCATGGAATGATGTGGGTGTAGAAATTGACGGTAGAATATGTACCTGATGGTACAACTGCTTTCTGCACAAACACAACATCCTTGCTATATTCAAGGGAAGTCCAATGAATAGTGTCGGCTTTGACAAGTCGAATTTCGATTTTTGTAGACATGACTTCATATCTACATTTCATAGGTATGATCTGTTTGACAAGGGATAATTACGTCAACAGACAGAAGCGTAACAAGACCTATACTAACGATGTTGTTACCAATGTTACATACCAAAATCCAAAACTGGAGAAAAAATAAACAGTGAAATTAATGCTCACATCGACTCAATCAACACTTAAAAGCACCGTATTAAATAAAATAACAATTTCTTTTCTTTGTTATGAGGAAGTGCAGAATCAAGATATTTCTAATCCAAATTCAGTCTAAGACCATGAATAAATTACGTCACCTTTCCAAATAAGCGAGGTTGAAAATGATATGCTTCTTCATCAGGCAACTCGATTGTAACACTAAGCTGGGTATCAGTGAAGGACAAAAGGGAGTTAACATGTTGAGCAAGATAAGATAAGATTGAAATAAAGAAAAATGAGAGCTATTTTAATATATCCTGCACTACTTACTATCTGTTCACCAAAGTCAACCACCACGCTGTTTGCGGGTATTCCCTTTGCAAATATTGTAACCACCACTTCCTCTGGTTTCTGATAAAATTCATGCCTGCAGTGTACAGGAAGAGATAACTGAACAATGAAGAACTGGAACATGGAAGAAAAGCTCTTGCCACACCAAGTCATATAGATGATTTAAGTTATGCCATAAAGTGAACGAGAAGAAGAGATTTGACTTCAAAATAGCCAATTCAATACATCTCACACATGCACACTCACACATCTTCCCTTGCGCATAAATGATAACAGAGTACTTATTAATGATAAAAAAAGGAATTATCAAGGGGGTGTTGCGGTTGAGTGGGTTAATTTGCTAGAGTTTAGGAGTTCGTTTACCCTGTACCCTAACAGACACGGTTGGACTAAGTTAACCATATATTCACACAAGATATGCCACACAACCTGTATCTTGGTTTGGTAGATGACACCGGCGTGCTTGTTCCTTGACTGGACAAGCCAACAAACGATGGCAAATTATTTGGAGTCGCAACATCTATTGGAGCTTTATCAACCAAGTGTTCAGGTTGCTCTGCAGCTTCCTCTAAAATAAGAAGGAAAAAGAAACATATTATTATTAGTAGACCAATTACATGTACAGAAAAATCATAGCTTATTGTCCAACAGTAAGAGCTCAGAGTACGAGTAGACTGCTAACATATTGTATCACAGTTTTATAGGAATTCCCTACCCAGTTGAATTGTAAATTGGAGGTCCAGCAGAAAACTTGAAAAATTAATGCAACAACATCAAAAATCTTAATGACGACTTCTAAGTCAAATCCCAACGTAAATCTAACTATAAGCATGCATAGCAATAATTTAAATACGGGCCACAATGAATGAATTAATGGTTACAGCTCAAAAAGAAGCTAGGAAAAATGGAAAAGAAATCATCACAACAAAAACCACAATAAAGAGTTGTTCTAGTCTTCTAGAACGAATAGAAGACTAGTTTACCTGCTATATGCTCATCGCATTCTTTGATCAACTTAGTAAACCTGGAATCATGAGGCGCCAAAGAAGCACCAGTTTCTAATGCTGCTTTAGCAGTCTCATATTCTTCAAGATTGATACACGCCACACTGCATGAAAATAAAATATAGAATTAGCAATATTTGAAGAAAGAAAAACAGAAATTCTATATTCACACTCAAGCGCAAAATCCCAAAATCCTTCGATCCAAACAATCCCTTACAGAACTCACCCTTTACGCAGATAGGTCTTGGCCATTGAAGAGTCCAACTCAATCGCCTTATTTGCATCAGCAACAGCCTCTGTTCATCAAACATGCAAAGGTTAGTAACAACCTCTCAACCAGCTTTATATAAAACAACAGTAATAATATCCAGAACACACCTGAACTTTAAATACCAGAAAAATATATATATATATCATGCCACATGCATACAATAATTTCTTCAAATCATGAATCACAAAGCAAACCTGACTTTTAAGTACCATAAAACAAAATATTGCCACGTGCGTGCAATAATTTCTTTAATGAAATTAAGCATCACAGGGGCAACAAGGCCAGCATATCATTCGAAAAATTAAGATATTGAAACCATGGTATTTTAATAAGAAACATTTATAGATTGGATCCACAGATTCGTATACTTAATAGATTCCATCAATTTTCATAAATTTCAACGCAAAATACATCGACGGCTTCACCTTTGCACGAAGAGCAGAACAATCAACTCAATTGAATACCACCTAGATGTTTCTAGCCGATAGTGAGAATTCCACATCGACAATTGTAATTTGAATTCATGATGGTGAAAATTTCCATTAATAACGTATTTTTGGATCCATAAAATCAGAGTTCTGGAACAGCAATTGAACAAAAAAAAAAAAAGTAATTCAAATCACACAAAAACCATCCCATTCCTTTATACCTTTAATACCAAAAAGCAGAACATGATGTTCAACTGCCCCAACCCAAAGTACGTTCACCTTTTTTTATGTGCAATAATAAAAACACAAAAAAAAAAAAAACAATATTCCTTACCAGTAAAGTTTCGGAGTTTAATATTGGCTTGTGCACGATCGGCGAAAAGCTCGGCGGTGGTAGGGCTTACACCAATGGCTTGAGTGTAGAGGTCAACGGCGAGTTCGAAGTGGTCGTCGATGAACGCCTCCTTTGCCTTCGTTTCCAGATCCGACGACGCCATTGGTACGGATTACAACTCAACAAAGACTTTTTGGATTGATTAGAGAGAGAAAGAGGGATAGAAATTATAAATTAGAAATTAGAAATTCAGAACAGAAGGAGACGACTTGCAGGGTTCTGAACTCTGATTCACTGTATATAATATATATATATATATATATATATATTATACTTAATAAATTTTATTTTATTTTTTAAAAGAAATTAAACGGTCACGCTTCCAAGCGTTTTTTTACTTAATTCAGAATAGTTTTTAATTATTAATATATCTTCTAGAAAATAGTTATTATTAATATTTTATTGGGCTATTAAATATCGTGACAAACATAAATTGGGGTCCATATTTCGGTGGGCTTTTCAGTTTAATTGAGATTCAATTTATAAGGAAAGCCCAATTGTATGAGGATTGTGTGATGAAACTTCAGAATATATTAATTGAAATTGAAGAGCATTATAATAATATTTTGCTAATTTTATTAAAATAAAAAATATATTTAGTGGGCATGGACCATGGTCCACAACTAGCCAAATTTAGACAATATATATAAATAAAAAGAAGGACAAGCAAATAATGCCAAATGAATTGGACCAATAAAATAGGACAAGATAAAGAGTAGTGAAGTTTATATTGCTAAAGTGGGCAATATATATATATAGAATTAGGCCTATCCATCTCCTATATACTCCACCATATATTAACAACGTGCGCGAGTTCTAGAAAAATTCACCCTCATCCCATTAAATAATGGTTTTGGATTTTGATGGATATATCCGTTGTTCGGTCTCAGCAGGACATTTTTTACCGAATTTAATGAGTTTAACGAGTTGATGAGTTCAATTTGTTCACCCCCTACCATATATATTCTGAATGGGGTGGTTCGGAATTCAGATAGTGGAGTAAGGAAGGTGTTGCTTCTAACAATTTGAGGTTCGACATCATTTATTATCATTTTTTATGTTGAATTTATTACATATGACTTAATAACATAATGCAATATACTATATACTTCTCATGTAATCATGTGGTTTATTGGTTCCTTTGTTAAAAAAAGAAATAAAAATTGTGTGTATGTATTAATTTCAATATTAAAAATAAGGGTAGTGGGTTGGAATATAATATAATGAACGGGACAAAAAGGGGATATTAGGATTTGAGTGGGTAAATGCTGTCTGTCTCGTTGGTGAAATAAAATTGTGATGCCCCCACTAAATTGGAGTTAGTGACCTTGTCCAAACAACTACAATCCACACCTGTCACGCATTTACATTTACATATATATTCATTCATTTAAAAACTATTGTATATATAATATATTGTACTTGTTGTCAATTTAAACTCCAAATGTTCATAATGTGTTATTGATTTATTTGTTTTGATTTTTATTATTTTTTAATTTTCACAGACAAACCTGGATTTGGAGCCAGTCAATTATATTATATACACAATAAAGGTTGACAATGTACAAAGAGGGTGGCATCTAGAAAAGCCAACTTTTAATAAATGTCAAAGTGATCTTCATATTTAATCCACAACAAAAATACAAAAAAAGTGAACATTGTTTTTTTAATTTTTTTTTGGTATATTTAATTATCTCTTATCCAATTAGTGAACACTTGTTAAACTACTCAGAGATGTTCAAATTTTTGTTTATCTTTTTTTTTTTGGACAAATTAAACACATGAGTGATAGATATATATATATATATATATATATATATATATATATATATATATATATATATATATAATATATATTATATTATAATATATTATATATATATATATATATATATTGGACAGTTTATCACTATTCACGATCTACACTATTTGTTAATATTATTGCCAAATGATTATATATATTGTCATACAGAAAATAGCTATTATGCATGTGCGCACATGTTAATTATGCGGTGCAGGCGCGGCGTT